AATGAAGCAAATTATGCAGTGAACTTATCCTGGAAGAAACAATCCTGATTCACTTTCTTTCAGTGATTTTCTGACAAATTATCTACTTTAAAGGTTGACAATTTGGGGAAGGGAAAATAGGCTAATTGTTCATGGGTGAAGATACATGCATAATTAGTTGGACCATAGAAAATCCTTTATCATAATTTCAGATTAGCCTTGTAAATTTGCAGGGCATAAAAGGAAGTATCATAAAACAACAACATTAAAACATCCAAGACAAACTTATGGCTATAATGAAAGAAAACCCAGCAGCATTCAGCTGCCATGACTGGCTTCCATTTTCGCCTTTATTCGCTTCACAGCACTTATCTGTGTGACGGAAATTGTTTTTGAAAATAGAATAAGAATAAAATAAGGAAAAAAAGAGTAGGGTTACAAACATGAAAATAAAGAAAAAGAAAAAAAGTGACAGTAGGAAAGAAAAAAAAGAGAAAATAATTAATGCAAGATTTACACAAAGCCATTACAAATTACCTACAAAAAAATTACTTTGATACAAGACAAAGAATGGCTAAAATCTGTACAGAACATTTCGAAATAGTTGTCACATATTAAAATCATAGCTGAGCCTCAATATTAATACTCAGTATTAATTAATGTTTATTTCACATAAATCAGACAGAAGTTCTGTCATTGATTCTTTAAATGTAAGCACCTTAATTATTCTCGAATGAAGATACATCTTATAAGTGAGAAGGCACCTGCCGTTTCACTGTGCTACTGGTAAATTCACTTTGCTACTGTAAATATGAGCTCATCATATTCTGCAATGTTTACTGATAGTACTTTTCGCTGCCATCATAGAAGAAATATTTGATAAAAGTAGTTATATTTTTAATAGTGAATAAGCTACCAAGAAATATCAGTGAAAATTACCTATTCACACAATGAAAATTTGCCATAAGAATAGAAGCAAGGAGCCCTGACTGACCAAAGACAAACTCTAGACATATGTCATTGTACCTCTTTAAAAATAACTGAGAACAAAAGAACATGAAAATATAGGTTTACTTTTTCATTATGTGCTAAATTCAAAGAAATACTGTTTTGGTTGTAGTATTAACATTTAGCTTTGACTGAGATTTCCAGATAGTTAAAATGAAGTTCTTTCCAATTAACTGAACTTCAATTTCACTGTTGTTTTAAAATTTCTCTTATTCATATTCTGAACAGATCATAAATTTAACTTTAAGAAGACATTTTAGTATTTGCCATGCACTTGAATATGTTGTTTTCTTTATTTATGTTGAGTTATTCAGAACTGTAAGTAAGGGTATACTAGTATTGCTTGGAACTAGACGGAGTGATATCAAAATTATTTTACTCCACATTCATTAGAAATATAATCAAAACAACCATGAAAATATAAAAGGAAAAAAACCTGAAAATTTTTAACAACATATTTAGTGGTGGTGATTTATATAATTTCTTTTTTAGCTTCTTAAATTTGAGGAACTCTTAGCGATGTATTACGTGCTTGAATTCAGATGGTAGAATTGTTTTATCATCAGATCTTAACAATGTATGAATGCAATTATTTGTCACCAAATTATATTAATAGTGTTAAAATTAGACATGTGTTCAATTCATTGTAACAAAAGCAGAAAAAGGAAGCAATTACTAAAAGAAAAAAAAGACCCCCTTTTTTTTTTTGTTAAAACAGTATTAAACCTGTCATAAACCAAAAGAAATGGTGGGAAATGCTTTTCAAAATAAATTTATTTATCACCAAGGATTGTTTAAAACATTAGATTATATCCAATCCACCAAAGTAGTAGTATTTTTAGCCATAGAGATGACAGAACGAATCCATAAATGTCATTTTATCAGACTCTCATTCCATAGATTTGTAATCATTTTATAAGAATTAATTTGTCATAACTATTCAATATTCTCACTGTTTATAAATAAAATGAGATGGCATTATGCTGTATAAATATTCCAAAAGGGAACAGGATTGTGATTTTTGCACTCTAGTTCTATATAAATCAAGAAACACATCTTTCAAAGTAAACACATGTTTAATAAATGGAAATGAGAAAATATTATTCATCACAAAGTACTTTTTAAATTAGAATAATAAACTATGCAGAAGTGTGGAATCCACTAATATACATACATAGAAAAGCCATTATTGTCAATGTAACATATATATGAATTTAAGGTGAGCATATTGTTAAAAAAATAGTTCTTCAGTCCAACAAATACATGTACTCTATATTTAGTCTGTGGCTTACAAAAAGTTAAATATATTGAATGCACATAAGCAACGACTTTTTAAATTCAAAAGTCTATAAACTTATTTAGAAAGTTTACAACACATACTACCAAAAATGGATTAAAACTAAATTAACTTGTAAAGTTCACATCTTCTAAAACTGGAATAAAAAGACTTAAGGTCTGCTAGTTTATTATAGATAACTTATTTCAGATATGAGTTTGAATTTATAATATTTACTTTAAAATGGAATAAGAAATCATACCGCTACCAGGGTAATTTTGATGAAGGCATATGCAGATCATTTTCCTTATTTAACCAATACATAATTTTAACTCTGTAGGATATTGTGGGCATAAAGGCTCCCAAATTCACCATCACCCATTACAGCCTTTAAAATTGCCCCAAAAAACCTTCTAGAGCTAAGCTGAACAATTCTTAAGCTATAAAGGCATGTCATTAATGAGGCTTTCCATGAGGCTTTAGCAGTCAGTGGATTCAGGATTCAAGTCGGTGGCTACAGTTAAACATTATTTTGTGGCATTTTTATAGATAAATTAATCTTTCCTTCTCTCCCCTTTTCCAGGAGGCTGCTATCGCTTTGTATCAGCTGCATAGTTTAGAGGGGGAGGAATTCTTTCTCCTACCTTCTCAGATAGCTTTTTCTGACTTCTCCTTGACTGCATGATCTGCCTCATCAGCTGTGAAACACACTCCAGCATTTTTCATCCTAAAAGTCCTTCTGACACTGTTTCTTTTTTTTTTTTAAATCTCTGCTCGCCTTCATAGCATACCTTCTTAAAAGCATTAAATAAACATGGACTCTAAACCTCCTAACCTCACATAATTTCTCTCACAGCCACTTCAGTGAAGTTGTATGTATGAAGGACACTTCACATCTCTTTAGATTGAGTTCCGTTGACCTCTTGGCAGCATCTGAAGTGGCAAATGTGATTTATAGCTTTTCTTCTTGAAAGATGACTCTGTCTTAACTTCCAAGATACTACAATCTTCTGTTTTTCCAGGAACTCTACAACATCTTAATCTCATGGGGGGTGGGGGGTTGCTGTGGTTTTCTCTTCCCGTATAATAGTTCCTTGGGACTCAGTTCTTTATCCTCTACTCAGTTACCCAAAAAGTACTCCTTGAACATCTATGCTGTGCCAGGCATGCTTCTAGGTACCAGGGAGATATCTACTGAGTATTTCAGACTCTTTTTCATGGAACTTGGGCATTACTCATTGTGTAATTTTATCCTCACCCAGGCTTCAGATACCATCCACCTGTTAATGTTAACATCATAATGTATGTTTCCAATCTATGACATCTTCTCATCTTTATATGCACACATATAACTACTACTTGACATTTCAGACTTAAGGATCACCAAACCGATCTTATGTTTGATCCTATTCTGCACATTCTGCTCCTCAAATTCTTCATCCTGAGAGATGATGCCAACAGTGTTCCAACTATCCAAGCAAAGAAACTCAAAAGTCATCAATACCTACTTAATTCAATCTGTTACACATGTAAGGCTAACCTACATCTACACTGTGTCCAGAATTTATTCATGGTTTTCTTTTTCTACTGCTATCACTTTTTTGTCAAGTGTTCCTGTTCATCTATCTCTTTCTTTTACCCATATGAGCAAGATTAATCTGTCTGTGATGCCTATCTATTCATATAACGTCCCTGCTTCAAATGATTCCTTATTGCTTCTAGGACCTCTTTTAAGATTGTTTATGTAATTTTCAGAAGATCTTGGATTATCTGGGTCGCAGATCCCTCTTTATCCTTATTTTTGTTCATACACCTCCAGGTTCTCTTCAGCCATGTTTTATCTAGTTCCTAAAGCAGATCAAAAAAAAATTTTTTCTCTCTCTCTCAGAGGCTTCTTCTATATACGAACTTTCCCTGGAAGACTCATTTCCTTTATTGTTTTGGAAAGGCACTTTCTAAAGGAACCCTTCCCTAACTCCTACCCTCTCACCACAAGTTAGGTACAAGTGCCAAACCCCTTCATGGCAGCATACAGCCCCAGCATATCTCTTAGTTGTAATTATTTGGTGGTTATTCTAACCCTAGGTTTTATGTCTACCTTCCCTACTAGATAATAACACTAGCATATAATGATGCAAGCACGGTCACTAATAAAGGTAGAATTCACTAGTGCGCTTGAATACCGATGTTGAGTGTCCTGCAACGCTGTGAGCCTCCTTGAAATCTTAGTTATAATTTTTTTCTGGGCTACATCTGTGGTTGTTTCTGACTCACTGTGTGATTGATTCTATCTTTCCAAAATCAACTGGTTTGATCAGTCATGGATGGGCTCATCATTATCTTTGACCGCAATTTTCCTGAAAGTAAAGGACCAGCCTCCATGTGTTTGGTAGAGAAGTCTTCTTTGCGAAAGATTTTCTGGTTTCAACAGAAATTTTTCATGTTGATTTTTGACACTTCACTCTTACCTTCCATCCCCTCCCTCTGTTCATTCTCTCCCCATTGCTTCAACCACCAAAGTTGTCAGAGTGTATTTACAAGTTAACTGATACCCCATGGCAAGAACAATTTGAGAAATCTTGAGTAAGACATGTCATGATAATCATGATTAGAACTCAGAATTTACAATTCCTTCTATAAAATTATGTTTTCAATATTAAGAAAAAATCCAGAGGAGTTATAAAAAGATGATTATCATATTTATTGCCAGCCTAAGAAAGCAGATAGTTTTGCTTACCTTTAATAATGTTCGGCTTTGGTGGCATGCTGAACTCATAGACTGTCGGTTCTGAATATCCCAATCTATTGGCAGCTGTAATTTGAACTTCATACCCCATTGTCCACTGTAGATGCTCCAAAATAATGTGGTCTTTATTTCCCTGCACTTTTTTCTCTAGCCACTGATCTTCTTTATCTTTCTGTAGAGGCAATCAAATATATTTTGTAAATACACTGAAGTTGGGATTTTTTAAAAATATAATTTATCTTCAGGTAGGAAAAGTGTGTTTATTAATTTCAAGAAAGGATATTTTATCATCTACAGGGATAAAGAAAGTTGCTTTACCAATGTAGTCATTTCTAAGAATTGTCCATAAGAATGTAATGTTTTTTAAATTTTAGCAAAAGAATGATTTCATAATTAATTTTTGATAATTCAGTGGCTGATAATTTACCCTCATTAAGAATTTATTTTTATTTCACAGATATCATTTTGCTGTTTGGCCATTTTTTGATTATTAATAGTCATGTGGACAGAAAAAATTAAACATAATTTACAGAAAACGCTTAGTATGTCCATTAAAATAATTGCCAGAGACTATTGTTTAAGGTTTGAGGTGGGGGGAAGGGGAGATAAAATGTCTTGCAAATAGAGGCTGGATATTTTTTACAGATTTAAATTACAATGAGTATTTTTATTACTCTGATGTTTTAGACTCATAATAAAACAACATATAAGAAAAAATATTACCTGTTAAAAATGTTCTTAGCATCAGAAAATAAAATGTGTTATGCTATCCTTGAACATCTACACTTAAATCCTGATTCTCTTTCTAAAATAAATGCTTTAGATCATATATTTGAATTAACTTTTATTTGAAAAATATACTATAATTAAAATTAACAAAGAACAAATGACTCAAACTATCCTAAACAATGTGAACATTTGGCTGTGCCATGTTAACCATTTAAACACTGGTGCATTCCTTAACCTCTTTGCCTCGTTTCTCTCATGTCTATTACAGAAATGATAGCAACAGCTGTATCTGTCAGCTTTTATGAGGCAGCAATGAGGAAAACCAAGTACTCTGGGTAGTCCAGGGCCTTAGGAATCCTAAGCACTTAACAAATGACAACTATTATTAAGGAGAGCCTATTTCCATAATAACTATATGAAAATAAAATAATATTTTTCTGGAATGATGCAATTGCCAATCTCAATTTCCCAGAGATATAATTATAAGTAAATTAGAGCCTGGCGAGATAGATGGATAGATAGATGACAGAGAGATCAATCCTTTTTAACCTCAGAGCTCAGCCCAGTATTACCTTATGTTGAGTCAATATTTTACAATGTTTCTTTGACTATAAAGCATAACAATGTTTTCAGCATCTATGGTGAAAATTTAGGATTTATTCTCTGAGATTTAATTGTGGATGTTAAAGGCATGATTGCATTAAATTGATGATACTACAAACATGAAGTGTCCATTAAAAGGAGACAAGAAGACATTACTATTTTGATACCATACTATTACTCTATTTTCCTACTTAATTATTTTTGGTTACATAGAATTTTTATTACAGAGGTATCAGTTAGCCTGTTTTGATATTTCATCTAAAACTAAAACATAGGGGGGGCGCCTGGGTGGCTCAGTTGGTTAAGCGACTGCTTTTGGCTCAGGTCATGATCCTGGAGTCCCGGGATCGAGTCCCGCATCGGGCTCGGCAGGGAGTCTGCTTCTCCCTCTGACCCTCCTCCCTCTCGTGCTCTCTATCTCTCATTCTCTCTCTCTCAAATAAATAAATAAAATCTTAAAAAAAAATAAAAATAAAAAAATAAAACTAAAACATATTAGCACCCTTAATGCTATGAAGCCAAGGGTTTTGGAAAAGCACTTAAAGTTATCATATAAACGAGATATTTCCTTTGCTTTTTGAACTTATAAATCGATTAAGTTTATAAATTGTTGTCCAGTACTATTTAATGTATTATGAGGTGTACTCAAAGGCCATTGGAAGACCGCACAGTTTGGGCCAGAATGCTTGTAACTTGCCTACATCACTAAATGATTATTAAGTCTAAGAAAGGAAGTGAGGAGCACTTTTGAAATGCTTGGGACAGCTGTACCGAACAGCCATGATTTTCCCAACACCTTCCTTCATCATCGATTCATCCATCAATTATTCATTCCACCTTTATTGGGTAGAGGGGCTGTTCTAGAACTCTGAACACAATAGTGAACAGGACATGTACAATACGCTCATCTTGGAGTTTACACCAGCCCAGAAGAAAGACATGAGCTCTTTGAAAAATGAAGAATGCTCTGGGAGCATAAAACAGGGAAACTTAGGAGAGTCCAGGGCCTCAGAAGGTCTCTGGGGAAGTGATGTCACCCTCATTGGAAATAATCAACTCCAGTGCCATTTTTCATTTTTCCTGACTTAGTTAATGAAAAAGTGTGATTCTTCCACGGAGGTTTAGATCCAAAAGTAAGCACAATGACTGAAAATCTCAGAAAGGTGTACCAACACTGGGAGACAGAAAGATACACACTATGGTCTTATTGTTTTCAGTAAATGTAACAACACTATAGGTATTGACAAAAAAATTAAAGCTTAAAAATATTTACTCAAAAACAATCTTAGATGATATATTAAATGTATATATGTATATGTATGTGTATATGTAGATTTTATTGTGTCTATATGTGTATATGTGTTTAGGCACATGCACACATATATAGACACAATATATACACATATACAGACACAATAAAATCTATAGAACATAAATATCTGATATGTTCTATACTGTGTTTACACATATGGCCATCTACAGGAAGGAGGGGGTAAGAAGCAGGAGAATTGAAAGATTAGATAAAGACAAAGGGTACATGAAGCAGTAAAGAGTTGCCCCTATGGCCTTCCTTCTATCCCAATAATTCCAGAAGTCCTAAGCAACTGTGAAGTGCTTGATGAGAAAGAATACCTTGGTGAAAATCCAGAGTTGAGTTTTGCTTTGGATCTGAGTGGAGATATGGGCGAAAGAGCCAGAAAATGAACCAACAGCTGAGATCTGGATTACCCCAGGACAAAATTTATTCTTCAGAGTGAAGGAGAGATTTCATGTCCTTCACATAATCCTCCAAAAATACTATTTCTGGGAACTGAGCATTTGAAGTGAAACTTCCTGACAAGCACAAGACATGTAGATAGTCTATTCTGAATTACCCATCATTTAACTCTTAATTGTTGAAGTTCTTAACATGATAAATTAAAAGCCCCTCCATCATTTTAGATAGTTGGACTGATGGCATAAGGAACCAAAGGGACTTCTAATATTTCCCCCCATTTAGTCAATTTCATTTTTCCATTCGACATTAGACAGGAGGCTTTTTAATCCCTTAATTGCTATTCTTAGGGAATAGGAAAAAAAAATTAAAGTGGGTGTTACCAAATACTCCCCTAGGTATCAAAATCTCAATTATGCATCTGTAGAGTGCCTAATTTACAGAATTTGAATGCCTAGGGAACGATTTAAGATAATCTGGTTGCAAAATGTTCCCCTAGGTAACTTAATGAGATGATTTGCTGAATAGGGCTATTATTAATAAGCCAATTAAATGTTGAAGGGCAGCTACTAAAAGAAAAATGGCCATTTTGCTTTGATATAGCTTTTCTTAAGCAATCCTTTTTCTCAGAAAATAGATAACAGGGCCAAATGACAGTTAAGAGCTCTCCTTAACAGTTATTTTAAAATCATAATACCAGCATATGAGGAAATATTTGCTATCATCATATAGGGAGGAGAGCTAAGAGATGAAAGGAGTGTTGGTTTTCTTATTTGTAGAGGACTCCTTGACTGCTTTTATTTATAAGAAGTAATTCACTAATCCTTTTTGAAGTTTCAGGGAATATATGTTCAACATCATCTTAAATACGGCTCCATTTATTACTCTGAATATCAGAGAGGTGATTTAGCAATCACATATACACACACACACACTCTCTCTCTCTCTCCCTCTCTCTCACGCACACACTCATACACTCCACTGTGATTTCAAAAGATGTAAGATTTGGAGGATTTTAGTAAAGTTTCAAATTCTAACTTTTTTCTTTTTAATTGAAGTATAGTTGACTCAAATTCTGATTTCTTTCTTTCTATTATCATAACTGATTCAAATTGCCTTTGTTCCATATCCTGAGGCTTGGTAAAATTTTGTAAACTGGATCCTACTTAATTTTTCCTAGGCTCCATCACTCACATATCTCTTTGGGAAAAGTAAAATCTAATTTTTCCTATCCATCACCTTCTGTGTTCTCACAACCCATAAAAATTCACCCAGTACAAGTGTTTTTTCTCTTGCATTAATTATTTCTTAGATTTATTAATCTAATTATAGAATTATATATATAATTGCTCAACACAGACTCATTTATTCATTGATTCTTAGATGTGTTTATCCAGACAACAAATAGTATTTTTGAAGATATCAATACCAGAATGAATAATCATCCTCTTCACTAGTGCAAAGAAAATTATCAGAAAGCTTAGGACTCTTTAATGTCCATAGTTATTATCTGAAAATGCTTCAAAACTTATACTGATGGCTTTAAATAAATTTCAGTGCACCCACCTAAACATAGGTAAATCAGAAAATAAGTTATTATTATTAATAATTAATTAGAAAATAAGTTATCTCAACAACAAGAACTCAATTTTACATATGTATTATTTTAAGACCCTTTTTAAAATTATCTTTTCTTTTCCTACAGCCATTAAGATACAGCCTTCTAGACTCCAAATAGCTTAAGAAGATCAATTAAGACTCAGAAACGTATGCTAGAGCACTGTTGCTAGTCCCTAAAGTACTTTCTTCACAATTGATTTTAAGCAGCTAATTTTTTTTTTTTTTTTTAGTCCTTCTTAGCTCAGGAAACTTATTTAATGTGCCAACACTAAGTGATAGTTATGATCCCACAGCTATCATCAAATTAGGGAGAAAGCGGTGAAAAACTCATGGAAGCATGTAAAAAGACTATTTATTTAATTATATGGAATTACATTGACTCTACAACACAAAGTAGATGTAAAATATTCTGTACATAAAATAATTTCTTTCATTTTTCCATATACATTATGAAATTAATAAGCTTGTCTTTATTCTCCAAATACATGGTTTAATCCTACTGATTTATTGTTAGAGACATTGATTTTCACAAAGAATGCATAGAGACATCTATTCTTTTACTACTCTAGTTCTGTTCTCATAAATTCTGTCTTCTTAATGTGTAACTGAACAAAATCAGGTGCTCTATATGTGTTTCCTGATCTATATTAAGTTACACATTCTCTATATTAGGATATGATTTGTTTTTCCTCATCCTGGTGAAATTCAGGCTTAATACTTAGATTCAATGTCTGCTAGCAATCAACACTCACATAGGGAATATATTATCTCAATTCTGTTGTTCCTAGATGGTAAAACATACAGTCTCATGCACATGGAGAGTTGAAAGATAGGGTCAAAGAAGCAATCAAGTTTAAAATCCTTATGATGTTGCTTACTTTCTGAATTCCCCTATTTCCTTTCCATAGAGGTTATACAATTAAAAAATGCATCACATATCGCTAAATAATTTTTCAAGTTATTCAATTGTACTTTACTCCACTATGGAATTCATGCAGTTTGAGCAACTAATAGATGAAGTGGCTTAAAATCACATAAAGAGAACAGATGATTAAAAACCTTTTTGAAATTGTAACTATTTCAATACAAGTACAAATATCAAAGCAAAGACTGCCATAAAACAGCCTCCAAATCTTAAAATCCAAATTTTATTTATTTTTTCCCAAGTTTGACTCTTTTATTATGTTCAGTTGGACACTGTATAGTATATCATTGGTTTCTGATGTAGTGTTCAATGATTATTAGTCGCATATAACACCCAGTGCTTATCACAACACTTGTCCTCCTCATTACCCATCACCTGGCTACGCCATCCAAATTTTTAAACATGAAGAACTAATCTGTTGAGAAATAAAATGTGGAGAAAATTATTCCTTCCCAAGATCTGCTCTTGTTTGACCACATTCATAGAATTTACATTGAATCATGGAATTTCCTATTAACCCTGTAAAGCATGATGTTTGTAGGATGAAGAGGGCAGAGAAGGAAGGCAAAGAAAAAAGAATAGAAATACAGAGATTATTTCAATGTGTTGAAGTAGAAGGCATACCATAAACGATATGGTAAAGATAAAGTGGGTCAGAATGGCTGTACTTGGGACGCACAGAGCTAGTCAACTGAAGTGAGATGAGAGAGTCGAGGGGTTGGTATAATCTCCACAGGCAGATTTTAATTCAACACTTACTGCAGCAAAACTGTTTTGATTTTAAAGTCTTATGTTCTGATATCTGTTCCCCATGCCCACCAAATCACCCACATTCTGTAAGGTTTAGTTTTCCCATTAAAAAGTACCTATTTTTTTAGTATAGTTGACACACAATGTTACATTAGTTTCAGGTGTACAACATAGTGATTCAACCAGTTTATACATTATGCTGTGCTCACCACCAGTGTAGCACCATCTTTCTAAATACATCACATCTCTATTTCAATATCATTGACTATATTCCTAATGCTCTTTTATACCAGTGACTTATTCATTCCATAACTGTGTCTCCAACTCCCCTTCAAACCAATGTTTGATTAATGGTTTATATTTATATCTATAGGGTCCAAGAGGGAGAAATGCCTTCCTTGAAGTACAAAGGGTGGAGAGGAATTGCTTTTATAAATCTTGCCATAGGAGCCTAAAATTCAGCTACTAAAACAGTGTTCCATCCCAAAAAGCTATTAAGTCTGAGAGCAGTAACACAGTAATTGATTATCAGTCAATTGTATCTATGTTTTAATTATGCAACAATTATTTTCATTATCATATTTAAAAAAGACAAATCCTCTAGCACCTTTTCAAGTTAGAAAGGCCTGGGGATTGGAAATGAAGAGGAGGGATATGGCAAGACAGAAGGAAGATGGACTTGAGAAGGGACTAAAACTTTCTTTTACTGGTAGGGGAAATATAGATGTTGAATAAATAGATGAAAATAGGGCACCTCTATTATTAGTTTGGCGGGGGAGAAAAGGGAAAAAATGGAAGATATAAATTTACTGAAAATAAAACTTTGTACAAATTTTAACCTAAGACTAAGCCATATCAACTACATAAAAAATTAAAATATTTTCATCATCTTTATGGAAATTTGAATTACTCCAAATTTTCTGTTATTATACTTAACACTTTAACTTATTTGAATTTCTAGAAGAACTGTTTATCATTGTTACTTAATATACATACATGCCTAATATGTCTATGAATTCAATGCAAATTTAATGCAATTTGAAAACATTGTACAAAATGATAATAAAAATGTACTCACACTTCTATACTTCACAATGTATTCCAAAATAGGGGCCCCTCCATCATCCTGCTTGGTGATACTGAGTTTAAAGCTCTTCCCACTGCTTGGCTGCCCATGTATGGATGGAGGACTTGGTTCACCTAAATAAGCGATACAACATTCTTGATTTTTACACACACCTCAGATACCTGGAGAAACTGCATTCTAATAAAGAGAACACCGTCATGTAATAATAAAAAAAAAAGATGTGATCTTGAATTTACCATTTTCCATTTGCCTTTTGTTGTGATAAAACCTCTGATCCTTTCTCCCCAAGAAACAGCAGTATTCATAAATCTACATAAATATAGAAGTGACACCCGAGAACCAAAATATTATTTATACTGATATGCAAATGTTCTGATAATAGTATTGCATTATACAACTGAAAACTTTATTTCTTGTGTTATTAATAGTGTGCAATCCTATTTATTAAGGTAAATTTTTGTAAACATTTTGTACATGTTTTAATATAAACATATTAAGTTATAGAACTATATGGAATATATATTTACCAAGAAAGATGATGGTTTAGCATACATATCTGCTTTAATGAGTGTTTTTTTTTTTTAAGATTTATTTATTTATTTTGAGAGAGAGAGAGCACACATGCGTCGGGGGGGGGGCAGAGGGAGATGGAAAGAAAGAATCTCAAGCAGACTCCATGCTGAGCACAGAGCCTGATGTGGGGCTCGATCTCAGGACCTGAGATCATGACCTGAGCCGAAGCCAAGAGTTGGACACTTAACCGATTGAGCCACCCAGGTGCCCCTTAATAAGTATTTTTAAATTAGATGCAGATTTGAATACAGAAATTTTGTAGTAACTAACCAATAGATATGTGTTCCAATATATATTTTTTCTTCTAACTTCATGAACATATTTGCCTTTGATGTTATTCTTCCCATGGAGGTGGTCTTATAACAAAGATGCTTACATATTTAATATGAACAGGGATCTAGTGAAATGTAATATGTGAAGGATGCCATCACTGCTTGACAACTTGGAATGGGAATTTCTTGCTGTGTGTCACTTATGTGATGTCCTTCAGCATGCACTGTCATCCTCTAACCTTTTTTTCTCCAATTCTCTATAGATAGGAATATAGTAATACTAAGGAACTTTCAGGAGACATGCTTTAGTTTGCCAGGTTCCAGAAACTTGTAGTATGGGTCTACTCAGAGGAATGTCAAGACAAACTAAGCAGAATAGAGTGAAGAGGATTTTATGCCTCCAAACTTGGAGAATCTGTTTTTTTTTTTTTTTCTCAGCAGGTTATCTTTTTTAAATATGGTGTTTATAACCATATGAAGTGAGTAGTTTATTTGAGAAAAGGTGTATCATTAAGGAAATATGTCAATGGGGTGTGGTGACGGGCAAGTATATAATAAAATAGCCTTGTATACTAGAGCCATATAGAAACAAAATAAATAGAGGTATTTGGGAGTGATTCTTCATTAAAATTAATTACATTAGTGTGCAGATATTATGATATGACATGATCTGTATTCAATATAACATTTTTTTGATAAATGAATTAAAATGTCTATAAAATCAGTATAATAATTTCTTAAAAAGACTTAGATTGTGGGAAAATCTAATGATAAGATGGATTTTATATTCAGGTAGATTAATATCACTTCTAAATTAAATTTTAGAATGTATGTGTTGTAGAGTATGAATTCATTTAATAATATTGTAATATTATTTTGATAATAACATTTGAGATAATAGCAGGAACTGTATTTTCAGTTACAAATGTTTTAACATATACATTTCAAATATTTATGTCTACATTTAACCTTTACAATATACTAAATTTGTGATTCCATTACAGCTGCTACTTCCTTTGAAAAGAAAGTTCAGAACAAATGTAAATTCTATCAAAAAGGAATTGATTAAAATAATGGTTTCTATTGTAGCCAATTTGTCATATTAGCTGTATATAACAAGCAGGGTGATGCACAGATTTTATAACAGCATTTCTTGGGTCACAGTCAAATTTCTTACATTGTCAAATAATTTATTCAACATAAAGGAAATGGAAGTCTTTTCAAATTTATCTTCACTTTATGTAATTCAACTGCCTTACAATGCCCCAAAAGAGGACAGTAGCAGAGATGAGGCTACAATAGTTAATCTTCTGCAGTCACCATGAAAATGGATTAATTCAGTGGTGCCTTTTTCTCACACTTAGGCCCTACAGAATCTATGGGATAAAGGCAAGAGTCATGTGTCATCAAAAGAATGAAATATTGGACATGTTACATAGTCACTATTCTTACTCTCTCACAGACCATGGTCTGAGCACTATAATCTAACTAATCAGACTGTTAATGAGTAGGACACCTTCCTGATGAGGACAATTTCCTGAGGACAGTTTTACTGTATTTATTGTACTGCACCTTTTCTTTTTTGTCTCATTCCAGAGCAGAGTTAATTTTAAATACTTAGATGCCATTGTTTTCAGAAACCAATTCAACAAAGACCTAATTCACTTCCCCAAAGTGTTGAAACACCTCCGTGCATTTTAAGATCCCATAAGTTTGCAAATGAAGAGAATGGCCACAGAGAGCAAAACAGAGATAATTACTTACGGACTGGTAACGTCTGGAAGATTTCTATTTTACTGTAGTCCCCTTGTCCTTTTCCATTTACTGCTGCAACCCTGATTTCGTAAGTCGTATTTGGTTCCAGGTTGCTCAAAACAACCATTGCTAGAAGACGAAAAATAGTATATATATGTCTATGGTTAATATATTTTAATAAGTAAACAAAACAACCTATTTCAAAGCTGAGTGAATAATTTCACCGTCAATCTTCCCAGAAGATACCTGAAAAAATAGAAAATACGTATAAGATAATGATTTGTGAACACTGCCCTTTTCACTCTATTTTAGCCTTCTGATTCCACACAGTAACTTCCAAAGAAGAAAATTAATAGCTTCTTTTATGATACATTCACAATATATTGAAGAAATAAGAATGATCTAAATAAAACATCCTTACTGTATGCATCCCAAATATTTTATCTACTTTAAATCGAATTCAATATATAGAACTCTGGCCTCAGGTATAAGGTGTTTCTTTCATGGTGGAAAAGTGTCACAAAGCTGACTTTACAACCAAAATAGATCATTTATTTGATAATCTCAAATCAAATCAAATTATTTTTAATGCTGGTTTGAAGGTTGTCACCTCCTGTATTTTTTCTCTGAATTTCTTTTTAATTCTATACTTTATGAGACCTGGATCCAACATGACACTAAGAAGAGAGAATCTGAAAAAGTACAGGGATGTGAAGGTTATTAGAAACATCTCCTGGGTCATGCCAACCTCTTCAATTTGCCAAAGAAATTTGGTACAATGGTAGCTTTAAAATATCATATCTTTACAAATTCCTCTGGAGGAAGCCAACAAAATTCCATAGATGCCTCCAGCCTTACTGCTTTTGCTAAATAGTGCAAAAATTGGGGCACCTGGATGGCTCAGTCATTAAGCGGCTGCCTTCGGCTCAGGTCATGATCTCAGGGTCCTGGGATTGAGCCCCACATCAGACTCCCTGCTCCGCGGGAAGCCTGCTTCTCCCTCTCCCACTCCCCCTGCTTGTGTTCCCTCCCTCACTGTGTCTCTCTCTGTCAAATAAATAAAATCTTTAAAAAAAATAGTGCAGAAATTTACTAGTGGAAGTGGTAAAGCCTTGATAAACAATCAGAAAGAAATTAAGTTTGGCTTATATAATAAACCCAAGTAAAATGATCGACTCATAATACAAGGTATAATCAATCATAAAATAAAAGTTTAAATCATAGGTAACCAGGATCATATCTGTAGAGATACTGTTTTATATGAACCATGACTAAAGATGGTACATTCAATAAAATTACAATATGATTTATCAGCATATTTCTGAAAAGTAAATTGCATTATAATATAGATTCTTTAGGTAATATTTTTCATTCCACATGTATGAATATACTTAATGAATTTGTTTTGATACTTCCTTTTGTTTCATACTTTTCCCTAATATTCATTATCATGACATCTCTTTAGCTTTTTTATTATAATTGTTTAATTTCATTGAATTGCTTACTGAACTACAGAAAAGAAAAAAGTTGCTGAATGCATGGTAAAGATGTTTTCTTTGTCTAAAATGTAGAATTTAAAATATATAAAAGTTACATATATATTTTACATTTTACATATACATTTTACATATCTGATATATTTTGTCATATATATCAGATAATTATTAGTGGCAAAAAAGGATCCCAGATATCAACCAGACTTTATTTAATACATTACAGATGTTCTAAAACCAGCAAAAGGATATATTTCCAGTTGGCAAACCCGACATTTGTGTTTCTCAGTTTCTCTACCTCGTAAGAAAACTGACTTTGTTTTTGAGAGTACATTGCCTTGTCAAAGCCTCAGATTATAATACTTGGTGTCAAAGTTAAGGGAGGCCATGTGGGAAAGACTGATGGGCAGGGATATCCAACTGACTAGAAGCTACAAGGATAAATGGGAATATGAAAGCTTAATCCAAGTGTTGCTGACAAGCTAACAACCTGTAAGCTTTTTCAGGAAACCCAGATCCAGTTGGTTGATGATGTGGAATCAATGTATATATAATATCAGTCCAAGAAAAATAAATAGCTATGACTGAGAGGTTAGTGCATTAGATCATGCAGATTAAGGAATGGGAGGAGGGAATCAAATGAAAAGTTAGAAAGCTAAAATGCTGAGAAGTTGAAATCCTACTGTCCTTGAAAGATTCTGTTCAAGGTCAGTATAACAAGGAATTTCAAGAGCTTAAAAGTCATCATATCTTATCAATTTGCCAGTAAACAAATATAACAAATGTAAAGTCAATGTGAAATAGGCTTACTGTTCTGCAGAGATTTTTAAAGCTTTATAAAAGCGTGTTTGTTCTTCAGGTCTTATAATAAAAATGCTTAAGCCTTTGGACAGTCAATATTGTCACGGACCAGTCAGTGTTGAATGTGATGTCATGAACCAGTCGGTGTTTGATTGCCCTTTCCTTTACCCTAATAGGGAATGGCTTGATGTAGCATGGGGACATATTAGACTCATGCAGGTATTACACTGACTACAAAAACCTTTGCAAGAAGACCCTGTCGTGATGCATGCTTTTAAAATCATGAAGGAAGTTATTTGGTTCTGAGCCCGATTCCACCACTGACTGAGATCCTACCGTCTCAGGGCTGAGTGAGTCTCCCAACTCATCAACGAAGACACTTTTATTAAGTTCATAGAAACAAAAGTAGAAAAACAAACTGAAAGAAGGTATAGATAACATAATCTGTGTTCTGTGAAATAATCATCACCACACATCACTGATCTATGCAAATGGGGATATTATATGGAGACTGAGATAATGCAATTGATAGTCTAAAAGTTGTTCATCTTTTGACTCTGTTTAATGGCAAAAATACTCTGTATTTAGATACTCATTCATAAATATTAACATTTGCACAGATATAGGAGAGATTGTGATAGATGCCTTTCCTGCTTCAGACAACTTTGCTAGGTGCTATGCCTCTCCATATTTCTATGATGTAAAGACGCAACTGCTACCATCATTTTTTTTTTCTCTAGGTCTTTAGGATCTGGTTTCTAGTTCCTTTTAGTGATTTTTATTTTTTTAATTTTTATTTTTTAATTATTTTTTATTATGTTATGTTAATCACCATACATTACATCATTGGTTTTTGATGTAGTGTTCCATGATTCATTGTTTGCATATAACACCCAGTGCTCCATTCAGTATGTGCCCTCTTTAATACCGTCATTTTAAGATCATTGATACACTGTAACTCAGCCTTGTAGGTGAGAACAATTGGTAATGTTTCTGTTCATTTGTTTGCCTTGATACAACTCAGCAAGAAAATCAGTAGAATTCAAATCACACAATTTTAATTGTAAATAAAATCATCTGTAAATCAAAAGTGTGGAGATCAGACGGTTCATCTTTTTAGGTTAAAAATGGATGATAGACCTAGCAAAGTATCAGAGCATACCGAATGAAGGAAAAATGAGGTTATTAGATTAAACAATTAAAACAACAATTCCCTCCTCTCCGTAAAAAAAAAAAATAATAATAATAATCTTCCACATTTTACTTGGATTATCTGAATGTTTCTAGTGAAAGCTCTTTCTGGCTTAAACGGTCGGCATTCTTCCTCTTCTCCCATTTCACAGGGCTTGTGAGGAGGTTTGAGTTGTCCCTCTATCTCTGCCAAGGGGAAACTCATTTCTCTAATTACATTATAATCAACTCAGAATCAAGTTTCCTCATATTCTTCTGTTCTCCATGTCCAGACTCTCCCCTCCGCTGACTGAATTTTGCAGCAGAGCAGTTTGCGGAGGAGAGGAGCAGAGAGCTTAAATACTGGCTGAACTGTTATTAGAGCACTGGGCTACAACACTCAAAGGTAAAGTGGATGAGGGGGCCTCGTGGAGGGCCTTCAAAATTGTAGGGGAGAGGCATGGAAGTAAACCTATTGAAGCAAGTTTTACAAAGTTTATACACAAGAAGTCAGTCTATTTTTGAGTCCCACCTGTAAGGGTTTTGCTATAATAACCCTTATTATGAGGCTTATTAACATTGTGTGAACATAAGGATTATTGTGTGCAATAGAAAGAGCTCCATAAATTGGGACCAATTTAAAAAGAGGGAAAGGAAAAGATTCAGGGGAGGCAAAGCCCGGATCTGTAATTTGACTTGCCTTTCTTAAATGAGAGGATACATACATTAAATCATCCACAACTTCCTGGCATAGGACCAAACACAGGGTTTTTGAATACCCAAGGTAGAGCCTGAAAGCAAACTACCACTTGAAAAACGAGAGGCTGTGTACTCTATAATAGACTCATACCTCAAATTATGAAGTTAGTTAATGGAAGACTTTTTTTCCCCAAATGTGCCCATACAATAGAACAAAAGAACCACAAACTGAGGTGTGGGATGGGTTCTTTCCCTATAATTTGTTAGAAAATCAAACTCAAAAATTATGTGAAAGCAGACCTAGATTACAAACTACTATAAGTTCTCTAAGGACAAATAGCATAAATTATTTTACAGTTATATTTAGTTAACATGATTTGGAAATCATAATGCAATTCTTCTGAAAATTATAAACCACCATGAATTTTTCTGTGACATGGCAACAGGTATAGGTTCTACAAAGAATCTGGTTTTCTTCATTAATTTAATGTTTCTGCCTGATTTAAATATAATTGAGTTTCATAAATGACTATTTGGTCACCTGGCTATAAAAGCAAAAGTTCAGCAAATATTGAACTGTATAAAAATAATGACATTAAAACTAGCAAATGAAGGAAAACAGAAACTTTTTACATTATTTTTGCAAGTACAGAGATAGTGTTGCTAGACAGAAAATTCTGGTTTCATTTTCCCTTTAAGAGGGGAATCAGACTTCATTAAAAGGAGTTAATAAAGTAAGTTTTTGTTTGTTCAGATTACGTCTTGTAGATCCCACCCCTTTAGCTGTCAAGAGAAGAAGAAGCTACAGAATATTTATGACCCTTGGAGCAAAATAAATTACATATCTGCAAAATAATTAGGCTGAGCAAAGTTCTAAAGTGAGATTGAATTGAGCCATGCTCTTTTGGCTCTCTTAAACCTCAAGACTCTCGATGGGGTTTTCCAGCCAGTCAGCGTAAGCAGGTA